TATTATGGCATGCCGTTGTGCCATGTAATAGGTAAAAGTGACTACTAATGACACGATCGGCTTGTCATAGCCTGCCACCATCGTCCAGATCTGGGCTCATGCCTGGAGCAACCGTCAAACCAGCTTCATTTTGCTGCGCTGCCCCGGCAAAATGCAGCTATTTTAACCATTGAAGTGCATTTATTAAGTAAAAGTTCAACTGACACACACATTTACTATAATGTCAAGCAAACAAATAATTATTTTACGTGCTTATCTTGTTAAATTTCGCAAAAATGCACAGTGAGTCGTCCCTCTGAGCGTTCCTGCTTCCCCGTATCGGCTTTTGAAATGCAGCTGATTTGACCGTCAAAGTGCATTTATTAAGGAAAAGTTAGACTGAGACACATCTTTGGTATAATTTCGAGCAAACAAGTGAATGTTTTAAATGTTAATCTAGTTAAATTCTTGTTAAAAGTCCTCCCGTGCACACTCCCGCAGCCACCATTTGGCAGCCAATCGATTTTTGCCACAACACCGGCGCACGTTTCTGGGCTGTCAGCGACGACGCGTAACAGATGCGACGTATTTATGGATTTTTCCACTTTATTAGACATATTTGGACTGATGTGACTTACACGGTGGTGCAAAGTGTACTGTGGAAAATACGGAAAATTTTATCGCAAATGGTCAGACAGCGTGCAGACATAAAATATTTCCTAACTTCTATTTACTTTATTCAATAACTCAAGCAGAAATGAGCTTGACTGAGCAAAACCGTTTGATTAAATTAAAGCTTCAGACGCCTGTAAGCAAGTTTAAACAAGCCAGACGGTCACATGACTAAAGAGAGCCTGAGGTGGACTGCAGTAGAGACGTGGGTCATTTTGAGGGTCTCTGGAGCAGCTTGTTCCACTCGAGCTGATACATTTCATCGGCTGTGTAGTCCTCAGCAGAACTCTCCCTCTCTTGCAGAATAAATCTTCACCTCTAAAACTAAAAGCTGGAACATTGGAAAACCTTATCCAGAAGCCATCAACATGTTTTAACCTTTTTTAAGGTATATTTTATTACCTGCCATGCACAAAAAGTTATAAAACTAATCAGCCAAATCTTAAAGCAACAGGTTGCACCTGAAGCTCATGCTCACCAAGTCAAGCCAAATTTATTTATTTATTTATTTTGCATCAAAACAAATGTTTGACTTATGAGCAGTTCTAAAATATATCGCATTTAGATCGGTTAAACACATCGAAAAGGATAATACTGAAGCTGTCACTGGTTGTGGCTCTGCTGCTCGTAATCCAACCTTCTCTCCTGGAAATAAATCCATTTCTTGAAAATGCACATGCAAGTCCATTAAAAGCTGGCCTGTTCCGTTTGGCACACGCTGCGTCTATAAAACCTTGCACGGTGCCAGCGCTCGCTGTTGTTATTGGCAGCGAGATGTTTAAAATGAGGTGCCTGACAACAGATAATATCTGAAAGGCGCTGAATCCATTACGGTGGTTGATGTTCCGGGAAGGGTGAGTGGAAAAGAGGCTCGTCTGGAGGTTTGGAGTTTGGAGGCAGGAAGGAGGGGGATTAAGGAGACGAAATGGGGGCAGGAGGAGTCACTGTGACCACAGTGCATTTGCTTGATCCGTCTGGCTCTTGTCCGTGCTACTGTAATGATTGTTGGGAAGGAAAATATCACAAAAAACTAACGTCCTTTCATAAATTCTCAAAGCTGAAAACTATTACCACCCTGTTTTAAGACCCAAAAAGAACTCGATACTAAGAAAAGCAGGTTTTTTATTTCACTATAACTTTACCCTTACCGTTCTTGGTGACTTACTTTAAATCAGAATTTGTGATTCTTCTTTAATTCGAGTCTTTTACAAGTGAAGAACAATACAGTTTATTCAGCGTCGGACTCATTTCAATGACAGTACAGGTGGAGCAAATGCAAAACTGCACGCAACGCATGTCTGAGGTGTTAAAGACGACGTTTTATCTGAAGAACGGAGAGAATTAAAAGAAGAGAGGAAATGAGCTGATCCACCATCTTGGATCTACAAATGAAGGCAGACACAAGTAGGACTGTCTTGTAGAAGAATGTTTTCTGTTACTGATTCCAAGAACACTTTATGGTTTGGTGCATGATTATTGTATGTTACATGTGTCATGGCTTCTGGCAGTAAAGAATGTTTCATCAGCTCAATTGTCAGGTCGCTGTATCAGGCTCCTTCTGGTTTCCAATCGATCGAACCATGGCAAATATAATCTCCTCAGTTGGGTTAATTGAGGTCACAACTTCAGCAGATGCCCTGAACGGCTGCTGGGCTTGAGTCCATCCTTTAGTCTTCTTTATGCGTTTATTATTCCTCGTCGACTGCTCGTTTTATTTCATTTCCTGTCTCGTTCAGTAGAACGCAGTGGTTGAGAGGTGCACAAGTCTTAGTGGTCGAGTTGAAAGAGCTCCAAGCGAACCTTGTAGCAGGTCAGAGACTTGAATCTGATTTTTGCAGGCGTTCGTTACAACGGACACCTTGTCCAAAATGTGGCCCGAGGGCCATTTGCGGCCCTTGGGGTGATTTTGTGCGGCCCACAACTGCAGTTGAAGAAAGGTATCATTTTGGCCAGCAGGCTTCAGAGGTTGATGCAAATTAGTTGGTACTTTTTTTTATGTAATGTTTAGGTTCAACTGCAAAACAGATGAAAAACAATATTCTGAAAAATTAGCAATATTAAGCAAAATACAAACTTTTGGCTGTAATCGTTTTTATTTTCGCTTCATGCTACAAAGCACCAAAAACCTTCACTGATTTCTACCAGAAAGGAAACTTTTGGATAATGATTCATAAAAATTGGCTAAATATTGCAGTTGATAATCAAGAGTAGGGATGCACGATATTGGATTTTTGGCCAATATCCGATATGTGGAGATGTTAAAACTTATTTGGCCGATAACCGATGCCGATACTTTATATACGTTCCTTTGAACGTATATAACGATGCCATGCCGATAATATCGTGCATCCCTAATCAAGAGGGAACTTGGACATTTTTAAATGAATATAACGTGGTATCATCTACATACGAGCTGATCAACTTTATCAAACCTTCTATTAATCTGTTGTACAGACTGTGTAATAATAGATCGATTTAAATCGATATATCAATTAAATGATTAATGATTCAATTATATTGTGGCAAAACTAAAACATCGATTCATATCGTCATCTTTAAAATATGCTTTTACTTTGAAATTCCCAAGGCATGTCTGTGTCACCATTTCCGTGCGCGGCTGCGCTCGGCGCCGCCTCAGCAACACGAATAGAATCGAAATTGTATCGTGACAGACTTTGTGATATCGAGAAAAATCGTATCGTCAAACAAATCAATACAATATCGTATCGCGGTAAAGCTGGTGATTTACACCCCTACTGATAGCTGGACGAGTTCTTATAAACGTCGGTCTTTTGGGCCGTCCATGGTACAAAAGGCTCAATTACGCTTTTTATTACACTTTTGTTGCTGAGAACCGACTAAAACGAACTTTCCAAACACAAGACGACAACAAACATAGACCCAACAGATCAAATAAATCAAATCCTTTTTAATAAAAAACAAGCTTAGTGTTTACGAGGCTTTGAATGTTTTGGATCTACAACAACTTAAAACTCTTTCTCCACCAAAATTAGTAAACTTGTCCTTTCTCCAAAATATTGGTCAAGTTGAGTTAAATTCACATTTTTGTGGCCCACGAGTCTTTTCATCTTGATAGCTTTGGTCCACACGTGAAAATGTTTGGACACCCCTGCTCTAAGGATTATGGGGCACCTGCCAGTAAAGCATTGCAAACACAAATGTGTGAGATCACCATGACCGGTACCGAGAGTCCCGTGGATTATCAAGCATGGCAACAAAAAAAATAAAAGCTTTGCGTGCGTCTAACTGTGATACATGTAAGTTATATAAGCTGGATATTTAAACGTTTTTTCTCCTTTCTTTGTGAAAGTGGCAGCTTTTATTCAAACATAAAGCTGCCAGGTTCAGATGTATTAATCTTAACAGAGATGGTCAGATTTAAAATGGGCTCGACGTTTACCAGGAGCCAGTTTTCCAGGAACAGCAGCAGGTTGTGTTGGTCTGCACCGATTCTGAAGCTGGTGATGCCCATGCGCGTCGTCTTGTCTGAACACGTGTGCGCATGTGAAACGTGGCAGCTGCAGTCAAAATAATCATTAATGTCCTGCCATAACGTTTTGTCACGACGAGCATCATCCGCGCAGCTGGCTGATACAACTGCCAATCAAATTTACTGGCCAATTACGTCTCTAATGCGGCGTGCAGAACAGAACCGATTACTCGCATTCAGCCAGATGTGACCTGAAGGTAAAGCCAGATGTGAGGACCAGAAGTCTGCAGTCGTTAAATTACAACTCAGGTTTGAATGGAACTGGAGATTTATGGAAATTTGAATATCTTTTTAATATTTGCAGTAAAAAAAAAAAAAAAAAAGAAATCAAGCTTTTGACGGCTACTTCAAAAGTTGGTCAACTCGACGGAGGAAGGTGCCGCAGCCTCCTCTGCCTGAGTTTTTACTAATAAAGTGAAACTGTTTGTTATTCGGAGCACACGAGAGGAAGTCTGTAGCAAGAAGGTCAGACTGACAACCTGATCCCAGGCTAAGACAGAAGGCCAGCATCCAAGAGTTGACTAGAGGGAGTTATGGAGATTATCCTGCAGCAGAACCTCAACACACAACTGATCAACCATTAAATTATCATTTCAACTTCGGAAGAAGATTAAAATTTGCTTTACTGGCCAACACTTTACGCATGAGGAGCGATTTGCACTCTGAGCTATGAGCGCATGCGTGATCCGTCGCTTTTATTCCAACTGGGCGATAACATTTAGCGCGTTTTCCAAAAACCAACAAAGGAGATTTCTGCACAGGGACGTTGGGAATAAATAAAGAGGCTGGATTTTGGACGTGGGTTTGATTGCTGGCTGGTGTCGAGGTGAAGTCTTACCAAGTCTCCGGGGCATTGCTGCTGGGGCTCAGTGCTCTAAAAGATGGAGGGTGGGGGGAGGACAGAAGAACCACAAGCAGTCAAACAACACGTATTTACTGAGAGGACATGTACACGTTATTTCACACACAACGCTGCAAACAGTTTGAAATGCGAAGCAGCATGCAGGACATGGAAACGACTCTGAGCAGACGCATCGAGACTGATCGCTCTTGGTTGAACACTTGATCCTAAAACACACACTCTGGTTCAAAGAAAGCTGAAAGGAAAACAAACAGGAAAAAGTGTTTAAATGTGTATAACCCTGATCAGAACGTCTTTTCTGTGTCTCTGGCTGCAGGAGTTTAAGGAACATGAATGTAGCTTTCCTTAAATGTGTCCACTCCGTAACAGTTCGTGTCGTTCTTTTCCACTAACGCACAAAATCTCAGTTTTGTCACATCAACGCAACAAATATATTATTTTATCTAAATTCCAAAAAGATGCTCCGAGGCATTCCTGGCAGCTCCAAAGCCCGCTCACTCACTTTGGTCCACTGGACCTCGCTCCTCCTGCTTCTCCAACTTTAGTCAGCTGTTCAGAAAAGGAAGGATCGTTTTGGTTCGAGTGATTCTCGTCTTGGCGACGTCTCTAGCTCCGTTACGTAATCGCGTTGTGCAACGACACACACACTGAATGTGGACTAAAATAAAGCCGTGTCCCGTTTCTTAAGAGTTGATTGACTATCAAAATTAGAGCACTAAAAAAAAAATTTGTCCAGTTTTTATGGTGGAAGAAAATAATCTACAATTTAAATTATCCTGACGGATTGATTAGCATGTTGTAGTATTCTAAATATTGTCTAAGTCCAGCTTAAAGTTTTTGGGCAACATTAGAGGAAAACTCCCCCCATTAAAAACGTTACTAGAACCTCCTTCTTCCACCTGCGTAACATCGCTGCAATTAGAAACATCTTATCTAAAAATGATGCAGAAAAACTGGTTTGTGCATTTGTCACGTCTAGACTGGATTATTGCGATGGTTTATTATCTGGGTGTCCAAATACGTCTTTAAAACGTCTTCAGTTGATCCAAAACGCTGCTGCCAGAGTCTTAACTGGAGTTACTGGGAGAGATCATATCTCAGTTTTAGCTTCTCTCCACTGACTCACTGTCAAGTTCAGAATAGAATTCAAAATCTTACTTCTAACCTACAAAGCCCTCAACAACCTAGCTCCATCTTATATTTGAGATCTTATTGGTTCATATTTTCCTAACAGAGCACTTCGTTCTCAGACTGCAGGCTTACTCGTGGTTCCTAGAGTTTCTAAAAGCAGAATGGGAGGAAGATCTTTCAGTTCTCAGGCTCCTCTCTTGTGGAACCAACTTCCAGTTTCTGTCCATGAGGCTGACACATTGTCCAGTTTAAAGACTTTCCTTTTTGATAAATCCTATAGTTAGAGTTGGCTTGTTACGCTGCCTTAATCTTAGACTACTAGAGGACAAACTGACCTAATTTCCTTAAATGAATTGTTAAAATTGAATAGTTTTCATTTGATACTATTTCTATCTTAACATGTGATTCTTGACCTGCCATTGCGTATCTATTCCTACCAAACCCAGCCGGTCGAAGCAGATGGCCTCTTGTCCTGAGTCTGGTTCTGCTAAAGGTTTCTTCCTCATGAGGGAGTTTTTCCTTCCCACTGTCGCCTTCATGCTTGCTCAAGATGAGAGTTCTGTGATGGAGTTAAACTCAAAGCTGCTCCTCAGATAAATAATGTTAAATTATTATTTTTATTTATGAATGTTTCTGTTCAGTCCCTGAGACGACTTCTGTTGTGACTTGGCGCTATATGAATAAACTGAATTGAATTAATATGGGTGTTGTCTGTATTACATAATTAGCCCTTTAACAATATACAAAGAATCTGCATAAGAAAAAAATAGAAGTGTTTAAGAACATTCTACTAGTTCTGCATTAAATACAAGACTGTATTAATACTAATAAACACTAAAAGCTTCTGTTCCGTGTGTGTAAGGTTTTGGGGCAATTGAAGCATAATCCAGCAGCAGCTGCCGGCTTTATGTTTTCATTACTCTGCATTAGGTGTCATTTACGGACCTGACGTTTCTGATTGAAACTGACAATCCTGGTAAAAAGAAAGTCCACCGTCTTTCAGTTTTACATAACGGGACATAAAATGCATCTCAAGTGTTTAAAAACGCACAACAGATTTCACCGCGTTTTAATTTATTACAGAAAAACAACACCACGAGCAAAATATTGTGACGGCTAAACGAAGTCCACCCACTGGTCCAGCAGCTTGTAGAACCTGCTGTAACAGCAGCACCTCTGAAATAATTTCCTGTCTGAATTTATCAGTCTCTCGCGTGCTCGTGGAGGAATAGTGTCCCACTCTTTGTTCTAACTTCAGCATTTTAAACAGGCTGAGGTCTGAACTTTAACATTTCCTCACGACAACATGTACCAAGACAAGAACTAACTCTTTAAATCAATGCTGTTTAGTCTCCACCAGCTTTAAAACCCACGAGAAAACATCTAGTCGGGTTAAAAGACGCCCCAGATGCTCATTTTGAGCAACGGACCTCGTCTCTCTCGAGTCCCATTCTCCACCCAGCACGGCCGATAAACACACTAATAAATCCAACGGTCTGCCTACAAACCAGTCGAACTTAAAGCCCCGCTTTAATCTGAAGATGAGTATCGACCTTGACCAGCAGTCCATCCCAACCTGAACCCCAGGCGACAGCCTGCCAGTGGCCTCATCTGCATTCCTCCGAGTCAATTGTCTCCAATCAACCAGTTGATTGACACCACTTGCTAGTGAACGGTTGTTTGTGCCTTTAACAACTACAATGGCTTCTCGTAGTACAGACAGAAGCCCTTTTTATGACAAAAGAAGAAAGATCGAAAGCTGTTTGGTGCTGTAAGTCAGTGTTAAAGCTGGGAAGCTAAAAGCTAAGCAGATAGTAAAGAATCAATGGTGCTGCGGAGGAAATGCAGTAATTTAGAGCTTGCCGGCAGCTTCCACTTCTCCACTCGTCCTTCGCATTAAAGAGGCAGTTAGGTTTGATTGTTTTCAGCTCCTCGGCTCCCGTCTCGGTCGTTTTGAGCCTGGTAACGTGGCTCGTTGTGATTATTTCCTTCAGAGATAATAAAATTAACATGTAAGCTTAAGGAAACATGCGGCCCAGAGGAAAGCAGTTATCAAATGTTAACTGTGGACGAATCTAAAGTTGTGAGAAGCACATACCCATTTTTTTTAACACAACTGTTTGCTAACAATTGCTCAGAAAGATTGATGTGTGTATTTGTGTAATGCAACGCCTGATTGATATTCACGCCGAGTGCGTTTTCCACTCTTTGCCCGCTAACCTGCCCCGAGCCTGTTCACCCAAACATCCATCAATCTCCGAGTCGGCTCAGAGGTAAAACACAACGAGGAGGATGGAAGTGAAGACACAGAGGAGGTTTTCTTATGAAGCAAAAAGTGGGAGGGAAGGGCGGAACGTAAAAACACTGAAGACAGAGAAGGTGGAGAGGTTGAAGAACATAAAACGAGTAGATGGAGCTCTGAGTTTCCTCTGAGGAGCTCGATAACAGAGAGGAGCACAGAGTGAGACGATCCACCTGCGTGCGTGGATTACGGCTCGTTTTAACTCAGACGTGAGAAGAACTCAGGATGAGCGCTAACAGACGTCTCGACGGAGTAGAAAAAAGTCGGAGGGTGCACAAATGAGTTACAGACGCTCGTGCAGAGGGAGGGTGGAGGCAAACGTGGAAATTAAACGAACCACTTCTCGGGGAAGGAAAGCCTCCTCCTGGCGTAGAACCAGCAGCCCGACGGCCCCGCCCATGGGCGTGTTCCTGAGCAAAGCCACCACCTCCTCCTGGGTCCGCCCGTTTAAGTCCACGCCATTCACCTGAAGAAAAACATCAACGGCTTCAAAGAACTCGATGCAAGATGTTTTTTAAAATGTAAGATTTCACGTTGTCGTCATTGTTTTCACTTTTCGTTAGTTGTGTACACTGTAGCTTGAATTACAAAGTCATCACGGATGGTGGAAATCTCTATGAATAAATAAAAAAAATAGTTGCTAAACGTGATCTCACCAAGCTGTGACTGCTGTGAGACTAATTATTGACTCAAAACGATGGAAAATTGTGATAAAGCAGGTGAACTCGGAGGGTTTCCCTTCAAGTGAGCCACGTTGTAATCAGTTTTGAAAATCGCGACCGATTTTATGCACACAGCTTCCAAAAACTAATTCTTGGTCACTTGCATTATTTTGTTGAACCGTTCAAAGCGTGTTAAAAAAAAAAAAAAAGTAGCATCTTATAGTCCAGAATGTATGATGGTCGCAGCCCAGTGAGAAACCATATCGCTGGGGAGCAAGTGTTGGCGACTAGTTGGACTGAGAATGGTGAGAAAGTGTGTAAATGTTCACTTGAATTCACATTAAATTGATGCCTAACATACAAACATAACTTCAAAAAACTTGCAAAAGACATCTGCTTTTTTTTTGTTGCCATTTGGTCACAAAGTGGCTTATTTTTGTCTAAATTTGTTGATAAATTATTTTTTTTTTTTGCATGCAATCAGTCACATTTGGTGTTATATATTGGTTTATGTCAATAAACAACCCTAAAGTTGTTTTATTTTTATCTTTCTTGCACACGAAGAGTTTGAGTCACGTGCAACAACTTTGGGACTTTTAAATGAGAGGGATACCCTGCAACTCACAAAGGAAACTGAGAATCGTTCATAACGATTCGAGACGTTTTAGAAATGTATTTGCAAAATGAAGTTTGCTCAGACAGATACAGGCTACAACTGATTAAAACTGTTTTTTTAACCTCTTTTTTTTTTTTTTTTACAAAATGACATCAATATGAAACGTACTGACATAAAGTGTGTTTATGAGAAACTCAAAAAAATAAAAAAATAAGACTGAGCTTTTAAATTTGCCATTTTAAACCAGTCAGCTGTCCAGTTAAAAAGAGACTGGGTTAAAAGAAATGCATGACATAGAAAATCAATAAGTTTACAATTTGATTAAAATATCTTTTTTTTATATCAGACCACTCAACATAATTGAGTAAATTAAAATATCAAACTAAATGCCTCCATATGCTGCCCACGTATGACTGACTCTTTATTTTGACTTGTTTTGTGTTGTTTTTATTGTTTAATTGGAGAAACTATTGAATTTGAGACTTGGAAGTAAAAGCTCAACGTTTTAAAAAACAGATTTAGAATCACGCAGGTTAATCCTTCATGCAAATGGTTGAAAATCTGCGGTGATGCAACTTGAAAAGCTGTTCTGTTGCTGCAGCACAGGAGTTTGAAAACAGGCTCTTTGATTGCAGAACAGGACGCGCCGTGTCCTCATCAAACCGGTCGTGGGTTCGTTGGTTACGCTCGACTTTAAACAGACGGCGGGCGCGTTTGACAGATACGAGTTTGTAACGGAGAGAAACTCGACGCAAGCCCAGATTTGTTAGATGGAACAAATAGATAAATGCGTTTCAGATTAAACGATCACTGTTTTACCTCCAACAACCTGTCTCCTGCCTTCAGGCGGCCATCTTGGATGGCAGCTCCCCGAGGCAGAATGTTCTTCACGTAGATGGGCGCCGAGCCCCCGATGGGAACGTCCCGTGATGTTATGCTGAATCCGAGTCCCTCTGGACCTGTCGGGGGAGAAAAACAGCAAAGATGGAAGGTTTAATGAAGGGATCTGGTTTTATCTGGAGGAGAACAGCCGCTCGTCTGATCCGTTTCCATCCCTGAAGCTCAAACTGGAAAAGGGGGGGTCCAGAGTATTTCAAACAGGCTCAGTTCTCATGAAGACATGCAACTGATCTGATAACTGTTGGAAAAGAAATGATAGGTATTGTCTGATTAGGACTAAATAGATATGATGCACCAGGAGCCGCAAGATTCAGCAGAAAATGTAGCTGGATGATGACATCATGCATCAACAGGAAGTCATCAGTAACACACAGGAAGGAGCGACTGCGGCACAAAATGACTTAATTTACAATAAAAGACTGATTTATTGTATCCAGGAGAACAGGAACAAGTTCACTGGTTTATGATTAGACCCCTCACCTATAGCCATGAACTCTGGGTAGTGACAAAAAGAATGAGATCACGGATACCGGAGGTTGAACTGAGTTTCCTCTGCAGCGTAGCTGGACTTAGAGATAGGGTGAGAAGTTCAGTTATCAGGAGACTCGGAGCAGAACCGCTGCGCCTCCACATCGAGAGGAGCCAGTTGAGGTGGTTCGGGCATCTGTTAAGGATGCTCCCATGGCACCTCCCTAGGGAGGTGATTTGGGCATGTTTGACTGGGAGGAGACCCCGGGAAGACCCAGGACACACTGGAGAGACTGTTTCTCTGTTGGCCTGGGAACACATTGAATCCTCCCAGAAGAGCTGGAGGAGGTGGCTGTGGAGAGAGATGTCTGGACCTCCCTGCTTTAGATGCTGCCCCCGAGACCTGAGTCCAGAACAACAAGAGGATGGATGGATGGATGGATGGATGGATGGATGGATGGAT